GTCAGCGTCCTCGAAGGGCCTCCCGCCGCTGCCACCGACGCCTCCGAAGCACTAGAACTGTTCCGGGTCACGCCCGCAGCGCCAAACCGATGTTGCCCCCTATCGGACTGGAGGATGCTATGTGAGAGCAACAGCCGGAACAGCCGGTGACTGCGCAGGCGTCAATCCGGAAGGCTCCCTGGAGCCTTGTGGGTGCCTTTGGGCGCATGCTCAAAGCGCTGCGTTTGGGGCTGATCTGCCCTCGTATAACCCTAGGGGGATCCGAGGATTTTCCCCCCGCGGCTTCCCATGCTCCTTGCTGTGTCTTTGGAAATGTGCCCTGGAGTACACAGCGAGAAGCCCCTGCATCGAGAATGGGGCCACGGGCTGGGGGGCAGTCGGGGAGGGCGGCAGCGAGAGGACTGGAGAAAGTCTCATGGCCAGAAGAATGTGTCCAGATAAGCTGCCCGCCAAGGCTGCCCGGGTGGACTGTCGCCAGACCCCTGCTGGTCGTCACTGGCTTCTTGCTAGTCGGGACAGTTGTGTGAGGGAGGGCTGGAGAGGCGGCAGGTGCATACAGGTGTGAGAGATGAGCTAGGGACGGGGTGTGTGTGAGAATACAGGTGCATCCACCACTGCGCTTTTGGACTGGTTGCTACTTTACAGACTACAGTTTAGCATAAAAGGCATCTGAAGCAACAGGGGTCGGCGTCTCCCAACTATTGGCAGCTCTTTTCTCCAGGGCTGGGCAGCAGCCTGGCAGCCCCCAAATGAATCTGGGACCTTCCACCACCGCTCCTGGGAAGGACCATTTCCTATCTGAGCTATTGAGCCCTGCTGCAGAATATGTCACTCCGCTGGAGCCCACGCAGAACCTGGCTGTCCAGGCCAAGTGGGTGGGGGCCTCTTTAATTGGTGACTAGATGCACAATTATGTGAACGAGTCCCTGAAGTTGTAACCCCATTCTTTTGGGTCCAATGGGTAAAGGACACTACTCTTCCCAGGATCGCAGGGCCCCAGAGGTGATGAATCAGAGTGCAGAGAGGAGTTTTACCCACCAGGGGCTTCCCCCTCCGGTCGCTATGGACGTCTGTTCTCTCCAAGCGATCTGGTGATATATACCCTTTGAGTCCCAAACCAGCACAAGATCCTAGGCTCCGGAAGTTGTCAGCCCACAGAGAGCCTTCAGTGGCTTGATGCTAAAGTGTCCCAGGATGAGACCAAGTGACCTGTCCTCCCATAAGACTAAGGGAGACAGGTTCCTAGCACAATGGCCACAGGGGCTGCTGGAACACGGGGCATTAGGAAAAATGATCCAACCTTGGAAATAAGGTGAAGGGGGACTGTGGCATGCCTGTCAACATCATGCCAGAGACATTGGTGAGTCGGCCTGGCCACGGGTTACTTGATTATTTAGGGCAGAGGTCAGCAAACTGTGCGGTCTTGTAGACCAAACCCAGCCTGCCATATTATTTTTAAAATAGATTTTTGCTATAGGGCGTGTGTGCTAGCCAGAGAAACAGAGAAAGCCAGCAAGAAATCCACCCCCCCCCAGGGGGATGGCCTTGGGGATGCCACAATCCCTTCTACCCTATTCTCCTCTCAGGATTTTGGGCACGTATGTACATGTGCCCAGCATGAGTTTCAAGCCACCAGGTCTGGGACTTGAACGGCAGTCAGCCACATGGGAGTCCAGCGCCTTAACCACTATACCACCTACTCTTTTAAAGTTTATCCATCTCCTCCATGAGCAAGACAGCACCCAAAATGGGGTCCCAGTGCCATGATCTACCTTCAGTCAGCCTCCTCACAGGCAAGCACGCTCATACTTGAGGTGTCTGGACTTGAACTGGGAACCTTGCCATGTGGGATTGCCTTGCAGAGCATCACATTTTACCTCTGCACCACCCTCCGCACCCCCCATCTCTTCCCCCACTTGTTCTGTAAATAGCTGTATCATGAGACACCAGGCCCTGTCTATACCTCTCTTACGGCTGCTTCCATGCTACATGGCGGAGTTGTGACTGAGACTGGTGTACCTGGCCCTTTATAGGAAAAAATTTGCTGATCCTAATCTTGGGGATGATGCCTGTGTTTAACTTTGCTATTTACTGTTTGATAAGCACCCAAACGCTGCAGTTACTTATTAACTTGTATGTTTCTATTCTACGGAGAAGAAAACTCCATAAACCAGTTTTGTACCGGGAACCAGCAGTTAGTGTAAGACTATGTCGCTGGACTCCCACGTAGTCGACCGTGGTTCGCATCCCAGACCCGGTGGCTTAAAACTGACGCTAGACACCTATGCGTGCGTGCCCAAGATCCAGAGAGGAGAATGGAGGAGAAGGGATTGCGGCGTGGCCATACCCCCTGGGGGGTGATTTCTCGCTTTCTGTATTCTCACAGTGTTTCTGGCAAGCACAACTAAGACAAAAAAAAAAAAAAAAAAAAAAAAGAAACAGTTTTGTACCTAGCATCACGATCAGAGTCTGGTGTCCTCTCAAAATGCTTACAAACACCCAGCTTCTCAAGAGGCTATATGCACCAGCCTTCCCAAACACCTGTTTCCTCACCCATGTATAACAGATCATCCATCCGTGCTCATTGTCTATTGCATGAGAGTCACTTCATTATGTATTTGAAAATTATTCTTTGGCAAGACTTGCCAGGAGGCGGCTGTTGTGAGCCTGCCCACATTTCCTAAGGGACGGGCCTGGAGAATAAGAGGAGCAGGTACCATGTGAACTAGATCCACTCTGGGCTTCCCAGGGCACCTGCCCAGCAGTGAACAGCCCCTGGGCTGCAGATCTCTGTATGAGGAGCCAGTGAGATCTTCAAAACAGCTGGCGACCGGCCTTGAGGCTCAGTTGGATAGCAGGCCTGCAAATCACAGAGGAGGTAGTGCAGAAACCCCAGGCAGGTGGTCGGTGACCTCTGGCACCTTCCTGTCCTGTGCTCTCCTGTTCCTCTCCCTTTTCTAGGTGGCTTCCAAAACTACCGTGGCATCCTGGGCTGCAGACAGCTCTGCTCAGGGCCAGGGGCGGGCCAGCCGGGTGCTCATGTGAACTCCCACTCTGGCTGCAGTGGCAGTGTCCACACCAGGGTCTGCCGGGAGAGAGGGTTGATGGATGCTGTCAGGAGGGCAGTGCGTGTGTGTGTGCAGTCAAAATCCAGGCTTCTGGTCGGAGCCCGGTAGGCCCACACATGTCTTTTCCCTTTAGTCCCTATACCGAGGGCTCAGTAGCCCCAGTGGCCCGTACTTCTGCGCACTGGGTGCTTACAATCCACCAAGACCCAATAGGCATGAGGATTTTTGTAAGACCCTAAGGAAGTAGCTGAAGAACCAGATGGTGATCTGGTGTGCCAGGTGTGGGCACACCAGTCACCCCTGGACCCAGGCCTTGAGCCAGGAAGAGAGGGAGGGATCCAGCTGGGCAAAAAGCCCCTAGGATGGTGGTTTCAAGGCCAGAAGGTGACAGATGTCCAAATGGGCAGCTGGTGGCTGTGGGGAGACTACTCCCCACCGAGGCCGCAACCAGAAGAAAAGGTCAATATAGCCTTGAAAGCTATAGGGTAGAGGAGGGGGCAGCCCCTTGCTTTTTCACTCTTTTGCCTTTCCACACACTCCCTGGAACAGCCAAGTAAGCAGCCTGTCCAGCCGGCCTCCCAGAGCCTAGTCAACCAGGTCAGGGATCCTGCCTGGGTCCTGGGCCCTTGGGACTGTCCTCAGCCTAGGATTTATAGACTAGGCTCAGAGCTTGGCTGGATACAAGTTTTAAGAATGTGCTGGGGGCCAGCAGGGGACACAGAGATTAAGGCAGCTGGATCCTACATGAACAACTGCACGGTTCGAGTCCTAGACCTGGCAGCTTGAAAAATCACAACAGATGTGTGTCCATGCAGTGCCCTCCCTGCTAAAAAATAAATCTAAAAAAAGTGCTGAGAGCCAGCCTGCAGCCTAAGGCAGCTGGATCCCACATAGTATGAGTGCCAAACCTGGGGGCTTGAGAAACATTCCAGGAACATGTGTGTGCCTCCCCAAAATCCTGAAAGAAGGAAGAAATGGAGAAGAGATTGCAGTATGACCATATCCCTTGGGGGTGCTTTTATACTTTCCCTCCTCTTTCTCTCTCTCTTTCTTTTTAAAAATTTTTCTTCTGGCAAATTAAAAAAAAAAAAAAAGAATATGCTGAAAAACTTCTCCCCTCGTGTCTTTTCAATTACATTAAAATTTACTGTACACCAAAGCCAGCAGGTGACGTGGTGGTTAAAGTGCTGGATTCCCACACGGCTGACTGTGATTCAAATCCGATACCTGGTGGCTTGATTTCTCACTTTCCTTCTCTCTCTCTGGTAAGTGCATATGCCCTAAGCAAATTAAAAAATAGTAATAGTAAATAATATAAAAATACTTTTTTTTTTAAAAAAAAAGAAAAGAAAAAGTAGGACCATAATGGTTTCGTTATTGGACTCCCATGTAGTCGACCACTGTTTAAGTCCTGGGCCCGGAGGCTTAAAATTCATGCCAGGCACATGTGCATGTGTGCCCAAAATCCTGAGAGGAGAATGGAGGGGAAGGGATTGCAGTGTGGCCATTCCCCCTGGGGAGTGATTTCTTGCTGTTTCTCTGTCTCTCCTGTGGGCAAAAGTGTCTGATAGCAAAAATCTCTCTTAAAAAAAAAAAAGAAAGAAAGAAACTAAAGAAAGACAAGTTTACTGCGTACCTAGAGTTGAGGACAGATGTGATGAGATGATGCACAGAGGGGGCCATGCTTTGGCTGAGGTCAGTCAACAGGGCCTGAGGACTCTCAGTTCTGGGCTCTCCAAGCTCTGAGTGTGCAGGTGCAGGGAATACATGTTGAAAAGTGTATCGTGGGGACCAGCAGATGGTGTAATGGTCACATTGCTGGACTCCCACACTGTGATGTGGTTTGAGTCTCAGACCCGGCAGCTTAAAACTCATGTGTGCCCAAAATCCCAAGAGGAGAGTGGAGGAGAAAAAGCACAGATACTTACATCATTTATCTATAAATAAATGCAGCATGGCCATCCCCCTAGGGGGTGATTTCTTGCTCTCTCTGTCTCTCCGGTGAGCACGTGTGCCTTATAGCAAA